CCTCCCTCCGCCCCTTTCCCCTGGATTCGCCAATCCCTTCTTCAAGTATTGATCAATTTCGGAATCTAATTTCTTCCATATTTTTTCCTACGGTATTGATGTTGTTTCTGTTGTGCTAATATCTTTTTCCCCTTTTTTTTTTCTAATAATTTAAATGTTAAATTTTCAGTTTGTTCGAGATGATATAAAAGACTTATTGAATATTGTAACAGCACGTAGTGGATTTCTGGGATTCGATCTGTTGTTGACCGGTATGTGGCCAGCTGAGGTATTGCCATTTTCAGTGTTATTGCAGTTACTGTTGCGAATTATGTTCAAAAACGAAAGCAAAGGAACAAGCAGCGGTTTTGACGAAGGGGACGGTGGAGTAGTGGATTTTTAGAGTATCATTTTAGTACCATACTCAAGTCACCATCCCAGGGACAAATTTGCGGCCTGGCTTTTCTGGCATAAATTTTGGCATAAATCGTTTGAATAAGCCGAATGGTTTTACCATTTCTGAAGCCAGTGACGCATTTTCCTCTTATCAGATCCAAAGAAAAACCAGTCTGCCGAAAAAAAAAGTGAGACAGGAATAATTTTCCGGTCGGTAACAGATAATCCTTTCAAAAAAAACCAGAAATTTTTTAGGGGTTTTTTTCGACGTATTATTTAGGGTTTTTTATGACTTTTGATGATTTCAGGTTTCAAAATTTTCCACGAATTATCCGAAACGAGAAACTGCAGGGAGTCCGTTGATATCACAGCTGGCAGCTGCACTGAAACCACAATATCATTTTGCTGGAATGGGCGTACATTATGAAAGGACACCATACAGGTTTCTGTCTTTTTTTAAGCTGAATTGCACTTTTTTATGACATAATTTGCAAATATTGTAACATGCTATTACTTTTTCTTAATTTTGATATCACTATTTTGATATCACTTAACAGTCTGTACCACTCAGTTCGTGGGCCACACGGATTGTTCAGGCAGTCCTAACATAATAATGATTTTGGTAAAAAATGTTTTGATAAGTGGTAATGGTAAGAAATGTATACGATTTTATGGGCCGAAGGCACTTACTTTTGTAATAATCTCATAAATTTTCGAATTTTCTTTTCTTACCTTCCTTTCCTTTTTTCCTCTTTTCCCATTCTTTCCTATTTTTCCCCCTAATTTCTATTAATATGAATTAGTATATTTGCAGCCGATTCCAGCTTGCATTAACCATGAGAATAGCGTGCGCAAGATATTCCCGAAAGTGAGGGGAGTATTTTTGCTTCCACAACAAAATTCCACCTTAGGGACGGGGGCAGCTATCTCCATGATGTTTTCCTCTTTAAAAAATGGCATTTTTTCAAATCTTAATGGATTGTAGTACTTTCCTGCTGTTTCCTCAGCCTTCGTTTGGCAGACAGCGCTGTTGAACAGTCTGTATTCCTTTGAAAAGTGAACTGATCCATTTTTTTTTATTTTTTTGGGCCGCCAAATGCTTTTTCTACGAAACACGGACTAAAGACCAAGACTGGGTCTCAAGTCAGCGAGGCAATTTTGGAATGATTTTGGGATTAGTTGTTTTAATTTGTAGTTATTTTTCGATTTTATCATTTTTATATCGAATTTGTACTTTAGGAATCACCGAATTCTTCAAGAGCAATCTCAGCATGCTACACGCTTCATTGGTCTTGCTTCGGTGAAAAATTCAGAAAAAGAGAAATGGCTCTACGCATTTTCTATAGAACCAATTCGACAAATGACAGTGGCCGAACGTACGAAACAACCAGAACACACTACTGAATGTCCTTATTTGGGAATACTCGAACGCCTCATTTTGGAGTATTTTTTTTTTTTTGGATTTATTACCTGGTTGCTACAATCTGCTTATTATACTTGATATATATACGTAGGTCCCAGTTGCACAGATGAAGAACCAGACCGTGAACTACAATTGTTCCGATATATTCGGTTCAGTTGTAATTCATGCTCGGCTTCTTCAGCTATGCAGTTATAGCTTTTTAAGTTGTTTTGACCAATGGTACATGGACCAGTGGTCAGTCCTCTGGTGATCCTAACATTCGTTTTGTCTCTTGAAGAATTACTGGATCTGTGGTTTTCTTGGAAAAAACACTTTGTTAAGGCTTTAACGATTTTGTGATGTCCTTGTTGTGTGTTGAGCATCAACATTTTTTCCTGAACACAGTTACTTTTTGATAGTACCTTATTAGACAAAAATTTCTTGGCAGTTAGTAAGCAACCGTTGATATTTACGTAAGTTATGAATCTCATCACGGAATGGTTATTCTAAGTAGTTTAAAAATTTCGATAAATTCTCTGTCATTAACTGTTTAGGCTGAGAGAAATGAAAAGAAAGCAAGAATCCTCTGCAGAG